TTCAAATCTCAGCCCCATAACACATGTAACTGAGTCTGTATCTGAAATACAGGTCTCAGTTTCCTGTCCTAGAACATGGATATAGCCAGGTACAGAGACATACTTCTGTCATCCTAATCACATATTGTGACAAAGGACATCATTGGGTCCATTGACAAGATAGGAATATGGAAGGTAACGTATCATATCTATGCTGAATGTCCTGAGATTGGTAACTATGGTTATGTAAAATGCCCTCATGTTTAGGAAATAAGCCATAGTGCATGCAGCTTGTTGTCAAGAGGGGGAAAATGTACCTATAGAAGCAGCAGTGGGGGTAAGTGTGCACACATGCTAAGGCAAAGGGGACAAAGTGCTAGCCATGAACACAAGTGTTCCTTAGGCTGTCTTTACAACTTTTCTGTAAGTTTGAAATTGCTTCTAAATAACAGGTTAGAAACAAGCAAACCTCACAGTTGCCTTGGATACTGGTGAGAAGCACCGTTACCCATCCACCCACACCCACACCCATGCCTCTCAACAAGCAGCTTGCGGAAGGACAGTGACCCAACAAAGTTCATGAGGCCCTTGCCGTGTCCTCTATGGGAACTTGCTGCAGGCCCGGTTGTCCCAGGGGTAAAGGGCTCTTGTTAGGTCCTTAATCCGAAGCCCTAACTGCGGGGACCCACGGAAACCATACCCTCTCCTCCCACGCCAGTTTGTCAAGGAAAGCAGCGCATTTAGAGAATGAAAATTCAAAACAAGTCCCATCTATACTTGGGGATTGGTACATCCCTGTTATTTGGCCCCGTCATAGGGCTGTTTTGTGGCTTTGCCAACAAAAACTGTGGGGTTTAGAAACAGAGGCCTAGTCTTTGTGGTGTGGTCACCACGTGATCTCTGGGGCCTCTTATAAGCACAAGTCCATATGCAATATCCTGTTCCGTTCCTTGCCCTGCCATCTTCAGCTGCCATTTAAAACAGTGGCAGGAGCAGCCATCCTGACAGTGGTTGATGGCAGAGACTCAGGGTTAGACTTGGAGATGCTCCATCCTCTAAACGTACTCTCCAGGTTGCCCTGTGGAAGCACTTTGGGAGGGCTTTTTTCTCTGTCTGTGGCTGTTGTGGGGGCCCTAGAGTATGGTATGAAAACAGCCGGAGCAAGAGGCTTGGTCACTACAAGAACCACCTCCATTTTCTTTCTGACGACCACAGAGAGCCACGCAGGCATCTGGGGCAGCAATGGAAGGTTGCTCCCGTGCCCTGCCCTCTTCCCTATGGGAACAGCTGCCTTTAATGGTCTCATGTGGTAGGTGTCTCGGCTCCTATGATCATGGCCTCCCAGCATTCCTCTCCTACAGTGGCTTTAGGTTGGCCCACTGGACCCAGTAGAGAATGGCAGAAGTGTGTCCCAAGGCCAAATTAGGAGGAGCCTTCCGGCTTCAGCTTCAGTAACTTGGAATGCTCATGTTTGGGACACAGTCACCATACTGTGGAAGGACCACATGGCCTGGAGAAACCATGGGTGGCACCCCCACAACAGTCTTGGACTGAGCCCAGCTGAGCCCTAGTCAACTCACAAAACCGTGGGAAGAATGGTCAGTGGTTGCCTGAAGCCACTACAGTTGGAGATAGTCACTGTACCACAGTTTGATTTCTTTAACATGATATGTGGCCACATGACCTAAGTCCATGACCAGGGCCAAGGAGGTTGGTTTTCCCACTTGGGTTCTGGCTCTATCTCTAGTTATCATGCCAGGCTCTCTGGCTTGCGCGGGACCCAGGGAAGGAGAACCAGGGAGGATGACCCCAATGCAGGCTAGCTCCACACTGAGAAGTGACAAGCCCAGAGGTGGCAAGGGGCAATTCAGTGGGTGATTGCTTGCATTTCTCTTTGTTGAACAAGACAGCCACTTCATCAACAGAGGCAGACTTGTGTTGTTTATCAGTGTGTCCCCCAAAGCCTAGCTCTCAGCAGGCACATCAGGTTCCTCCACATTGCTGAATTAACTAACCTGAATGTGCAGGAGCAGGGGGGCTGTGTGGGCAGGCATTTTGGTCCTGAGAAATCTTTCAAAAAGCCTTCAGCACAGGTCAGGCCAAGCCAGACTCCCTGCTGTGTCTGCTGCCTCTCCTTGTCGCTCAAATGCCCAGGATAGGCTGGGGTCCTGAGAGTGCATATGTCACGGCCCCTGGCCTTGGGGAGCACTCACTGTTGACACAGCAGGCGGTTGACAGAGCTCATGTGGTGGGTGCTGCCCAAAACACCACTAGCAAAGACAGAGCAGAATTAAACAGCTGCCAGCCCTGTTTAGTACGAGGAAGAGTGGGTGGGTTTGTTTAAAACACTCCCATTACAGTCAGTTAACCTTTATGTTCCCTAAATGAAAATTGTATAAACCTGAAATTTTCGTTGATCAGGTTGCCTAGGAACAGGCAGCAGGTTTTCATAAGACAATGCCATAGATTGTCACCGATAGGGCTATTAGGAAGTGAGCTGGTTAGCGGTATTGTTCCCCATCCGGGTGTCAGTGTTAGGTAATTATCTGCCGGCCCAGGCAGGACCTGCCCATGTTCCTGGGCTGGGGCAAGTTTTATGTAAATGACATTTCTCAGCTTGCTGCTCTAGGAGTTCTCTGGGGATCTGAGTGTCCCCTGGGGTGGGGGATGGGGGGGTCTGTTGTCATCCCTGGACTTAGGAGAGAAATCTGAAAGACACAATTGAATTTATTTTTTAATCACCTTCTCCCCACACACACACATGCAACAATAAAAGCTTAATAACCCTATTGGTGACAGTGCAGTGAGTTGTCTTATGAAAACTTTTGCTGCTTGTGCTAAGTAAAAACCTTGGGAAATAAGCAATAATAAGATAATAGTAATGCACAATAATGAATGCACAACTTTGGTAAATCTTTGTAGTAGTGTTTTCTTTACGTGCTGTACACACTTGTTTATTTTCCAGAAAGTCACTGTCTTTGCTTTTGTAATTGGGGTGACTAGCTGTCCTGGTTTTCTGGGACTGAGAAGTTTCCCAGTGTTCTCTTTAACGTGTAGTGTTCAACTGGGACCACAAACTCAGCTTAACCAATTCCCTGTTCTTGGATTTGTAAGGGATATCTTCCTAAAAAATTATAATTAATTCTTCTGATGAATTACCCCCGTCTTTATGTCTTTAAAGTATACATTCTTACAAGTAGGCTTATTAGGTCAAAGGATAGGCACACTTAGGGGTTTTGATATATTGTCAGAAAAATATGTGCAAATTCCCCCCCCCTCAATACCCTCAGGAACCCTTATGTCAAACAACCTTTCCCCACTGCCAATCTGATGGGCAAAAACATATCTTATTTTTGGGATGTGGGTTTCTCTATTAGCCATTTGTGAATTGCCTGTTCATAACTTTTACTTATTTCTCTTTCATGATGCTCATCTTTTTTAATATAAAATCAACAACCTCTTTGTATTAATCATATCAGTCATGAATATTGGGCCATTTTGTCCATTTTTAAAGGCAGTTATGTCTGTTCTTCAAAGAGCAAGAGTGATACTTATGATGGGCTTTCTTTGATGGCAATTTTAGGTAAAGTGTCCCTTGTAATCATTAAAGTATTTTTAATTGAAGTGTTGGAGCTCGCTTCGGCAGCACATATACTAAAATTGGAACGATACAGAGAAGATTAGCATGGCCCCTGCGCAAGGATGACACGCAAATTCGTGAAGCGTTCCATATTTTAAAAAAAATAAATATAAAAAAAAAATTGAAGTGTTGGAGACAAAAGTATCTCCAAAATGAATAATCTAGGTAGGTCCTTTTAAAACAATTTATACCACACAGTGAAGCTTGTTCTTGCTGTGTCAGGCAGCTGTGAGCAAGGGCCATCCTGTATTGCAGTGATACCCTCAGTAGCTAGTGAGCAAAATGACACTTTTGCTCCTATCCCAATGTCCCCAGACTGCTGTTTAAATAAGCTACCGGATTCTTCTTTCTCCATCACTGTTGGGCTGCGGTACCGTTACTGTTGGCTGCTATAAGCAGCCCTGCCTTACCCTCCGATGGTCTTCTTCGGCAGTGCTACTGGCTTACAGTGCTGTTAACCTGTCTGTAAACTAGAACCAAGTAAGTGCTGAGCAGGTTAAGGCTCTGTCTTGTAGAGCAACTGTAGGAACTGAAGCAGGCCACAGCGTTCATTATTTCCTAGGGCTTGTATTTTTTGTGGTGAAGGTTGTTAAGTGAGTGATCTCTGGATGTAGAAGTAGAATCAGATTGAGATATTTTGGGGTGGAAAAAGTAAACAGAAAGCAAAGATTAGCAAGTACAAACTGAGAAAGCAGCAACGTAGTGGGACAGAATCAGTGTTCAATCTTGTGACTTCCCTTGGGAGTGTAGTGGTTGGGTTTCATGGAAATGGTGGCATCACTGTCCTGGACGTTGTAAAGATCTGGATTCTAGGCCCACACCTGTTGGGGAGCGGCTTTCAGCTTGTTACCCAAGCCTCCTTATGCTCAGTTTTCTCATCTGTGGGATGGAGCTGAGACTGAGTGGCTTGTCGGTTATTCATAGGAGACAGAGTCAGATGGCCAGATGTGAAGAGTCCCTGGCCTGGAAGAACATCAGAGGAATGGCCAAACAATCATGGAGGATGATAATTATTGCTGGTGTGCTTGCTGTAAATACAGGCCCATCCATAAGCTATAGTCTGCCTCTTTAAAAACAAAACTGTCATGCTTTCTACACAGGCTTTCGTCTGGGCTCAGCCCCTGTGTGTATCTTAAGCTGACGTCCTTGCTGCCCTTCCAGAACCTAATTTCATCCTTGTAGGTTTTTCCAAAGCAGGATTTGCACGAGTGGTGTGTTTTCTTAAATATTTATTTTGCAGGCCATTTACTCGGCATGGCTATTTTTATAGTGAGTAAGGAGCACGGCTAAAAATAACTTAGCTCGTAACCAGATCGGTTGTGCATTTGACATTTACGTGGAATTCATTTGCATCTCATTTGTTTGCCTTTCTGTTTAACAGGTAGAATGTAAGAAAGCTCAGCCGAAAGAAGTCATGTTCCCACCTGGGACCAGAGGCCGGGCCCGGGGGCTGCCTTACACCATGGACGCATTCATGCTAGGCATGGGAATGCTGGGTGAGTCCAGGCGGTGCCGGGGTCACAGCGGACTGGCCCGGGAGAACTCAAGAGGCCTGTGCACACAGTAGGGTCACCTACCAGCTGTGCGAACTGTCCGAGCCACCTGTTTCCTTATCTGAGCCTCAGTTTCCTTATCTGAGCCTCAGTTTACCCGTCTTTAAAGAGGATTATCATTCCTTCTTCCAAGATGGCCACGATGACCAGACGAATGTGTGTGTATAATCTTGTCCCTTGCCTGGCTCATTTATTTCCTCTTCTTTCCACTTATCCAAAAGCAAGACAAGTAGCTACCTCTGTCTGGGCTCTCTTGGCCCAGTTCCTGAGACCTAAGGTCTCCTGGCTAGCTTAACTTGTATGGGCTCAGTCTACATTTTCTAAAACTTGGGAGAGGAGGGGAAGTGGCAAGGGTGGACCCTAATCCTGTCTATTTAAATGATTAACATTTTTCTCCTGGGATATCAAAATTTGCATTTAAATGGATGTTTTAAATAGCCTGTTTTACTCTTTATTTGCAAAAAAAAAAAAAAGATGAAAGACAAAGTATGTTTGTTCTGACTAAAAAGGATCTCTCCTGGCTTTTAGAGAAATTGAGTTGCATATTATGCCCCTTTCCTTAAAGGTATCTCTGTCCGTCCTGCATAGATAATTGAAAATCTCACTGTTTAAATGGTTTGAAAGATGGAGGAAGCGGAGGAGATGCGTAATGGTGTGGGTCGCAAGAATAATTAGAAATTTCAAGGCGAAAGAACAGTATTTTAGTGCAAGTTATTGTGTGTCGGGAAAACACTAATTAAATGGGATAAATGGTACTTAATGGTAAAATTCCATTCAGGCACATGGGCTGTGTAGTTTTAATGGGTTTTCATTTGGTTTGGATAAGAGTCCCTCTTCTATATTATTTGATAAGCTCTTTATGTATTTTCAGATTTGCTGCTGTTTAAGTCACTTCTGGCTTACTTTTAAATTTATAAAACTTTTCTTGGCCTTACAAAGAATTATATCTACTTGTCTGCAAAAATAATAAGGGCAGATAAAGCTATTTTGAGAGAGAGGAACTTTAAAAATGGAGGAATGATGCCATGGAGAGTATTAAAAATAGCCAAGATGTTGATTCCTCTGTGATTCACAGAGTTTCCAAGAAAAATGCTATTACGGGTCTTTAAAATTGGCCAGATGATTCTAAAACTCATCTGCAAGAAGAAACGTGAAAATAAATAAGAAAATGTTTTTAAAAAGAGAAATGAGGAAACATGGGTTTGGCCAAATACCAGAACATAACACAGAGCTACAGGAATGAAAACAATGTGGTATGCAAGACTGTCTCCCAGCTTATGGTGGGTTGACTTAACTAATTTCCCCTTTTTTACGATGGTGAGGATGTAGTATGGATTCAGGAGAAACTGTGCCTTGAATTTTGAATTTTTATCTTTTCCCTAGTCCCTCGAGGTGTTCTGGGTGGCGCATTGAGCTGCAGCTGCCAACCAGCCATGCTGTATCTTAAGAGCAGAAACAAAGGAAACTCTACCGGGTGCTGTGTTGCTAAGCTGCGATGTTCCATAGGTTGGGTGTGTTAAAAACATTTTCAACTTACGATATTTTTAACTGACAATAAGTTTATCAGGATATAATCCCATCATAACATTAGGAATATCTGTATAGGAATATGATTTTTTAAAAAGTTAAAGGGCCTAAAATAAATATATTTCTGTGTAAGAGATGGCTACATCCCGGTCCCTGGGATTTTCATCATAGGAGGGCAGGAGGCAGTCACAGCAATAGTCTTTTTTTGGAACGCTTCACGAGTTTGCGTGTCATCCTCTATTGGGTTATTGGAGGAAAAATGAAACAGTAACTTGCCTGGCAAATGTTATATTTCATTAAATCCTAGATGCCATGACTAGTGAAATACCATTCAGAAAGAAAAAATACATGCTAATAAACTTCATGATGCTTTCTTATCTCATTGACTGGGAGACAGATCCCACTTGCAGAGATGTTAAAATGTGAAGAAGAAGAAAAAAGTGTGACTCCAAATCACCAAGATATGGTAGCATATAAACTTGGAGCTTTTATTAATAAGGAACTGTGGAGTCGTGGGCAAATTACTACCTGAGTAGCTACCTGATACTCTAACCCTTGGAGTACCTTACTGACCATGGTCAAGAACCTATGAGACCCACAAATGTGACATGTGCCATGGCAACTGCAGCATCTTTTCTTCTTCCAGCCCCAGACCACTAAGTCTGGAACAACCTTGAATTGTCCCATCTCGTGACAAGGACCTGTGAGCTGGCATCAGGCTTCTGCAACTCAGAGCCTCCTGAATCTCCCAGCCACTGGGCTGAGGTCATCCAATGTCCACTAAGCTAAGGTCTCCCAAGAGGCCCCCAAATATGTCCTCAGCCAGCAACCAGCTCTCAACTGAAGTCCAGGAGAAGGGATGCATCAGGCACAGAGTCCAGGGAACAAGCTAAGTGTCTCATGGTCTGGTGGGCTTGTCACCTCCAGGCCAGGCTGCTGTCACCCAGCAGCCTCTCCAACATGCTCCCTGCAGACTCCTTGCAGTGCCCTCATGTAACCATTGCTCGGGTTTTCGAGGCAAGGACTGCTGACTCCTGGGCTACAGCTGAGGCCCTCAACTCCATCATCATGGAATAGTTCTCTCTCTCTTTTTGCTTGCTCCCTCTAAAGTGGTAGTGTGACATTGAGCAGAGTTTAATCCTTGGGTAGGATGGCCTGATGTGTCCCCATTGATCTCATGGGTCCCTCCCTCCGTGGTGCACTGTGCGTGCATTCCAGTCTTGGAACTAATGCTCTCACCAGCCACAGCAGTTTGGCTGCTGAATTTGGCTTATGCAGAAAAAAAATTTTTTTTAAATGTGTTAGTGAGTGGAATGAGATGATGGCAAAGCAGAAAAATATATATTGCTTCTAAGGACTTTTTAGAAGTATGACTAAGAGCCATTAAAGCATTAGAATTCATTCATTCAACAAATATTTATTGAGTATTTACTGAGTACCTGTTCTAGATACTGAGGATGCAATGGAGAATTAATCCTCTGACCTCAGGGAGGCGATGCTTAAGTGAGGAACCTGAGACAGCCAACAGTCTGGTCTGTAAGTGACCAGGGTACTGTGGAACTAATTTTAAAAATTATACCTTAGGAGGGCTTATGATAGTATATAGTATAATTGCACAGTTCTTTCTTTTTTTTTTTTTTTTTTATATTTATCTTTGGGGGATGGGGGGAGAAATGACCCAAACATTGTATGCACATATAAACAAAAGAACAAAAAGTAAATGTAAATGAAATGGAGGAAGAGAGAGAGAAAGAAACCAAGTTGGGGTGAAATGCCATTCATTATAAATTATAATTATAAATTATACTGATGCCACAAGGAATTATTTCCTCTGAAAGATTTCACATACTCAAACCAACCAATGGCAGTATGTTGTAAATATTTCCCAGTTCCATGGATTTGAGGGCAAGTTTTCAGAATCTTGTGGGGGTTCTCTGCTAAAGGTAGTGTCCAAGTCCTGTTTCTCCCAGGATCACATTGTTCATTGGTCACCCTCAGTCCCTAGGGACTTTCAAAGTCTATACTTTTGGATGAAAGAAGAAAAGGAAGGAAACAAAAAGGGAATATTTCAGTGTGTGGTCTCTTATTCTACCTTTATCATAACCTTAGTAGTTCCTGATGAGTCCTTCCTCCTTTCTTAGTTGCCCATTTCTGCCTAAAAATGCACAGTTATTTCTTGATGTCTCTTAATATGGCTGCAAATATCCTTTGGGAAAACCTATATCTCGTTTTGGTTTTAGCTTTCACAGCCTTTGATAGAAGGATAGAATCATCAGCACAATGGGAATTCCTTTTAAAAATGTAGGGAAAAGAGGAAGTGCAATCCCTAGGCCCTGTCTCCTGCCTCCAAGCCAGAGAGAAAAGCAACTGAGCCTCTTGGAGGTGTTTTTGTAGCCCACAGAAGAGTGCCCACAGTTAGCCAGCTCAACACAGCAGAATCACTCTAGTTTTCCTTAATGAAAGCAGACATAATCAAAGCAAACACATGACTGTTGATATATTTGATTCCTCTTGGCGTTCTCTGCTCTCAGCCAGATAATCCCGCTGCCTTTAACTCTCTTGGCCTCATTGGACACATGCTATTTATTTAATACAATGCTAAGGCTGTGCAGAAAAGCCTCACTCTGGCAGGATGGGAAATGGTGAGACACTATTGACCAGCTAACCACTTTATCCAAAAGCATTTTTAGCTATACTCGTACCAAAAAACCATGAGAAATCCTGACCCTGGTTCCCAACATTAAGGCCCTCTGAGTTGAAAGCAAAAAATAAATAAATAAATCATCATTGAGAAGCACTAGGGAGCCAGAGTCTGTTGGCATTCACTAACAAATCAGGAGATCAGTTGAACTTCCACCATACCTCTAGACGTGTTTATAATTTCCACTGGGATTTGTCTTTCCCAAAAATATCTGTTTTGGAGACCGAGGGGAGTCTCCATTTATTCACCTGTTTCCTGAAGCTCAGAATTGAGCTCTTCGTTGTCCGTGTCTAGCAGCACAGACCATGGAGCTTTCTGAGATGGTTAGAAGCTCCTATGTCTGTGCTGACTAATATTGCAGCCACTAGTTTCATGGGCATGCTAGCTGTCGAGCACTTGAGATGCACCTTGTGTGGCTAGGAAACTGAAGCTTTTCTTGATTTATATAATTTCAATTAAGTTTAAATTAGATAGCATAGGTCTGGAGGAGCCCCTACAAGTCAGGATGCTTCTGGGAGCTGAGTGTCTTTGTAGATCTTGGCCTTCATGTCCTTGTCTGGGAAGGCCTCCTGGCACTTGGTGTTTCATCTGCTTTGCAGACCTCAAGAATTGTGGTGCCCCAGTCAGGGGTCTGTATGTCACACAACAGATATGTCACACTCTGGCTGGTCCCTGAATGAACAGCCTTTGTCTCTGGTCCCATTCATGTCAGGGGCCTGGTGACAATTTTCAAAAACTAAATAACAGAGCCTGGGAGAGGATAAGTCATGGGCCCATCTAGAATGTAAACATCACTAGATTTGGAGCAAAGATCTCAAGCCCCAATTCTGAGAACCCCACCAGCATCGCCAAAATGGGGCCCCAGAAGAAGCTACAGGCACATCCAAGCTCTATTGTTGATTTCTGACTTCTGCCATAACAGAAAACCAGTCTGCAAGTAAGGTGATCATCCAGGCAGAAAGCTTAATTTTTTTTTACGTTAGTGACAAGAGATAATTACTGTGGGATTGATCAAGCGTCCAGAGTACTGGAGCAAATGAATTGTGCAGTGGTCAGTGTGGGAGGGGCCAGCTGCTAATGGAAGTGGTGGCTGGGTCAACCCAGCATAATGTGGCTTGACAGTGTCCACATGGGCCTCTGTAATGTGCTGTTGATATGCAGCCGGCCAGTTCTCCCTGTGTGGCTGGGACCATGAGTCCTGGAGCAGATCTGGGCTGCACAGCAGTAAATGAAGAGGAAAATTGAAGTAATATTGTATTATAAATTTATAATTTCATCTGCCTGGCTGAGAGGCTGTTCAGCAATGGGGGTGTGGAGATGAGATCCCCCATTATGGCAAACGCCAAATTCTCATCTTCTTCTTCAGGTGACAGTATTAACCTGTTCAGAAAAAGTGGGGTAAGGCCCAGAGTTGGAGTGAATGTGGTCATACTTTTCTTCTTTCTTGTGGAAGACTTCAGGGTATGCCAGGAAGAAAACCCAATTAGATCTTGTGAGTGGCCTGAGTACATGGAGAGATTGGCTGTTCTACTGTCTCCCCCACACCATGCTGAGGGAAGGTGACACATGGGCTTATGATTTTGCTGTCAGATTAACAATAAAATATTTAAGGCCCCCAGCTCTGAAGTTAGAAGCAAAGGGACCATTTTCATCAGGAAAGCCTCTAGGCAGCAGTGACTTGGCGGTTTGCATATAATCCGTTTATCAATATTGTTGAAATAATGGTATAAGAAGTCTAGTGCTAAAAGATCTGATTTGATAGCAGGTGATTAATTTGAAGGAGAATTGAGCTCTCCAACCATGAAATAAAAACCAAGGAAAGAGCCAGTGCACATGTGTCCATTTAAGTATCTGAGGTCTAGCCACTGCCCGTCTTTCTCCCCTTTCCCTATCAGGTACCTGAGTTTAGCGTCCCCTTGGGCTTCTGGGTCTCAGAAGGCAATGAGTGCAAACTGCTGGGGCATTGTGTTTTTCCTGGTTCGCCTTCTGCCAATAAGACAGATGCTGAGGACAGAGCAGGGACAAAGCAGGTAGCAGGGCCCTATTGAAGTAGAGGCGGCTTAGTTGACCAGTGAATTCAGTGAGACTTTAGCCTCTAGCTGAAGCAAGAGAAAGGAACCACAGCTGGTCTCAGATGAGAATTTGGACACATGAGTATGCAAGAGACCTGCAAGGCTCTCAGCAGGCAGCAAGACTCAAACTCCAAGAGAAAAGGGAAGATTCCTGTCTTAGGTCAGGCTAGTATAACAAAATTCCATAGGTCCTATTCAGCTTGTGAACAGTTCTGGAGGCTGGGAAATCCAAGGTCAAGACGTTGGCAGATTGCAAGTCTAGTGAGACCACTCCTCCCCTTCCACATAGAGAACACTTCATTGTGTACTCACATGGTAAAAAATGAGCAAGTGTCTCTCTGAGGCCTCCTTTAAAAGGATACTAACCCCATTCATGAGGGCTTTGTTCTCATGACCTTATCACCTGCCCAAGGCCCCACCTCCTAATACCATGACACTTAAGTGTTAGGATTTCAGCAGATGAATTTAGGGGTATATAAGCATTCAGACCATAGTAATTCCCAAGAGCATGGAACTCAAGTCTCCTGACTCCCAGACCCATGGGTATCTGTTCTGGATCCAGCGGCAGATCCACTGATCTCAGGCAAAAGCCATACCATCAGCATCTATAGGGAAGGGAGGACTGCTGGGGACCTCTGAGGCACAGAAGTGCAGAACTGGCAGCGGGAAAACCAGCAAAGCCCAACTGACAATGGCAAAGTGAAGCAAGGTAGAGTTTGGTGAACAACCTTCAGGTTACAGGGTCAGAAAGTACTTGATGTGACTTGAGAATCCACTGGGGAAGGTGGATGATGAGACCTGGGAGCTGGTGTTTGAGGGTGTTGTTTAAGGTGTGTGTGAGCACAGAGGCATGAGGAGAGTGGTTCTTGCTGCCCTCCCTACTGGAGGGCCTTCAGCTGTCTGAAATACATTCCTCCAAGTGGCGTTCTACCAGTGTTATGGTAGAAAGTACATAAACAACTCTGGCTGCTGAAAGCAGCAAAGGAGATCACTATAAGGAATGTGGGCAATCTCAGAACTGACTGGAAGGATGGAGAGCAAGACTCAGAAAACAGGAAGTGAGGCAGTAGGGGACATTCCAGACCTGGTCAAGAAGGCAGCCCAGGAATGGCCTGGTCAGGGGGCCACTGTTGCCAGCTCTGGATTCCTCTGCTGGCATCAGAGTTAATTCTTAGCCCTCCATTCCTCCTGTGCCCTCCAACTCCAGAGGCAGAACCCAGGGAAGTCTTGCATTGGCTAAACCCAGTTCACCAGCCTGTCCCCCCAACAAGAGTCACGTAAATTGGGGCTCAGGTGCTGGGCAGCCCAAAATCCAGCACTGCCATCCACCTCAGTGCCATAACAGAAGTCTTAAGTAGTGTGGTAGCAGGGTTGACTATATGTTGGTATTTTAGGAGCGTGAGATGTACTGAGCTCACCCTATAGCATTGTCAAGCAAGATGAGCCCGGTGGAGCAGGGCCAGGAAATAGCCATAGATGTGCTGTGGCCAGGAAAATGCCAGCCCAGGGGGCTACGCTGGCCTTCACTGTAGCTGAAAACAAGAGGCAGAGATGTAAGGAGTGATGTGGCTGAAGCTGAAGAGATAGCTCACTGAGGGTTAGTAACGGATTAGTTCAGATCCCCACCTACACCAGGACTCACTAGCAGGTTCTCTGTACCCCATGCCCAGTCTTGTCACAGTCTTCCAAGCACCCTGGTTACCAGTCACCCTAAGTGACAGGGGTCTGTGAAAACTGCTCGCCCATGAAAACACAGAGCTTTGGCTTCTGAGCCTGGACCCCTTCACAGTGCCGATTCACACACACAGCCCCGCCCCCCCCCACTACTGTTCTCCTCAGGTCTTTCAGACACTAGTACCCCTGTGGAGTGTCCCTGTGGGACATACCAAACTCTCCCCAGCCCCCAGGCCATGGCTTATTAGTCCCAGGATTTTCCTGAGGCCCAAGGTCACCCCTCAGGTTAGCCACTAAACCTCCTCCCCAGGAAGCTGTACCCTGCATACCCCGCGTGGTGCTGGCCCTGTTGTCCACCGTCTCGGGAGGAGGCATTACAGCGACTTTAATCTCCCACTATCAACAGCTTTAAGGTAAAGTACATTCGGGGTAAGCTCTCCAAATGTCAGAGCCCAGCGCAGGCCCCGTGTTTGGTGCTAACGCGTGGCATTTACTCTGCAGGTTCAGGAAAGTGCATGGGCTTTGAGAGGTCTGACTGCCCAAATACGGGTTAATTACCATCAGGCTGACAGCCACAGCTCTGGCCACAGGAGAGAGGTGACCTGCGCCCTGAGTACAGACCCTCCCTGGAGACAAATCATTCTATGAAGGAAAATGACTCCAGCATTCATCACTGCTACCCTCTCTGGGATTTCACCCCAGAGCTGAGGCAGCTGCCTAATGTATCTCTCTTTCTCTCTGTGTCAAGGCTACCCCAACTTTGTGGCAACCTATGGCCGAGGCTACCCCGGATTTGCTCCTAGCTATGGCTACCAGTTCCCAGGTAAGTGCCTTGGACTCTGGGGCGTTGGAAGTGGGAGGTGGGCTATGTCTGGGGAAGGGAGCGGCCCCTGAAAGAGGACACAGCTGGTACATCCATTCCTGTCCGAGAGGGCCTTTGTGTGCTGCCTTTCAAGTCCGCTTCAGGGCCAGGTCAGGAAAACTGTGGTGTCTCAGCTGTGTGGCAGGGAAGGGAAGAGAATAGGGACAAGATCCTCCCACACAACTCCGTTTTCTGAAACCTGTTCTAGTGGTCTTTTTGCTGAGGCCGACCTCAAAGCTCAGGGCTTTCTTGTCACCCTCTAGCACCCCGCTGCCTGTCTCTCCTGTCCCCGCGTCCATGTGCCCGATGTCCAGCGTCTCCCACCTTCCTTCCTCTGCTCCCCTGACCACTCTTCGGCCCTTCCAGTGTGTATTACTGTTGTGCTGTGGGGGTGGGTGCCCTGTCCACGTGGGTGGCTGTGTATATTCTCCCCGTTCTCCAACCCTTGTCTGCAAGATACACACAGGCTCACCCACTCATGGCTTTCACTTGAGGCAAATGGCAAGGCGATACCCACAGGCGTCCCACAGGCGTCCTGGTGCTCTGGCTCCAAGGCACTTGGCAGGCCTGAGACCCCACCCCAGGAAGCAACCAGGGCAGCCATGGTCTGGTGGGAATGGGGAGGACACTATAGGTAGCAGTGCCTGAGGGGGCTTTGCTTCTCACTGAGGAAGTGAACCCCCATTCCTAGACATAGAGTATGGATTGGAAGTTACTGGGGTGCTTAGTGCATCTGAATGAAAGGTCAGCTGAAGTGTCCAGAGCAGGTGTTAGAGAGAATCTTGTCCTCCATGGGTCTCACTGAAGGGGAGGCTCCATAGAGGGACCCAGCTTTCGGTAAGTTTCATTCTTGGCTGGTTGTCACACCTTTACTTGGCAGACTTGGAAGCCTGGGAGATCAGGTTCTGAAAGGAATGAGGAGCAGAGAGATGCCATGGTGGTTGTGCTCTGAGAGGAGGAGTGGGAGGATAGAGGGAGGGGTTAGAGCTAGTGTTGGCTCCAGGTTTTAGGGTGAGGAGGCCTGAGGGGAATAGGTGGGTTACAGGAAGCACTCGGACACTTAGGACCATGCCCCCTGTCTCCCTCAGCTAGCAGTAGAAGCCCAGGTCCTCATCCTAGCTCAGATACCAGTTGGCTAAGTGGCTCTGGCAAGTCACCTAGCTTCCCTGGGCCTCACTTTTCTGGTCTAACTGGGGAGCTGGATGGGCCTCCAGGGTCTGTGCACCTCTCCAGTTGTGTGAGTCAAGGGGGAGGAGGGCACGTGCAACTCAAGGTAGAGAACTGTGAGGAGTCAGCTTCCCTGCAGTGTCCCCTGGGACTGAGACAAGTTCCCCATCTGGGAGGGACCTGCAGCAGAGGGCTGCTTCCAGTGGCCTGGGAACCCAGTCCCGAAGGACATGCTAGAGGCACTGCCAGGAAAGGAGTCACACTCTGACCAGCACTGCAGTTGGATATCCCTACCAAAGATAGAGACCTCAAGGTACAGAGTGGAAGAAAACACAGCCCCAGTGGGTCACAGTGAACAAGGAACAGGGCCAGGATTTGGCCCAGGCAGCCTGAGTCTCCCCTTCTGCACGCCACTGTCAACCTAGTGTCCATTTTTCCAGTTGAATAACACTAGCCACTAAAATATAGGTTTAAATTAATTAAAATTCAGCAAGAAGGAAAATTTGGTTCCTCAGCCTCACTGGCCACATTCCCGTTAACTCAGGAGTCACATGTGGCTGGTGGCTGCCCTCAGAGCAGACCTAGAGCATTTCCATCACTGTGGAGGATCCTCCTGGGCAATGCGATTTCAGAGCTTGAAGGAAGAAGGGTGTTATGGTGTGGATATGTTCTCTACCCCATCCCAGAGAGTCCTGCAGCTTATCACTGTTCTCCAGCCGTTGCCCACAAGAGATACACACGCTCACCTGTATCAGCTCCCTGAAAGGGTCGCACTGATTTCTGTGTTTGGTGCAACTTGCCTCCATTCACAGGCAGGTTGCCATTGCCCTGCAGTGCGATGATGGCCCAAGAAGACAGAGTTGGGGGAACTTAACATGGAATAATTTGAGGGATAACAAAATGGTCCCCATATTAAGGTTCATATTAAGGTTCTTGGTCATCTGAGCACCTGCCTGCAAGGACCCCAAGAGGCAGCTCAGGAAATATCTGGTTGAAGTCTGTCTCTATGACTGAATCTCCAAGTCTGGCTCTAGACAGACAGGCACGCAAGAGTGACCAAACCGAGGTTGGGCAGACTGGGGAAAAGGGGGTGTGCCAGGGAGTGGGTGGAGTGCTTTATACATGGAGACCATGCTGCTTTTCATGGCTCCGGCTCCTGCAGCTTAACACAATGGCTGGGTCTGAATGGGCGAAAATCAGGCATTTTGGTGGACAGGCAGGGTTCCCTCACCTGTGGGATTGAGCTGTGCTTTCCCATCCCTCTTAGTCACACCCTGGAAGCCTCTTGCTTCTCTTAACTGATGGCCTGAAGGGGCCCCCAGTGGCCATGAGAGTTGAGGCACCTGCTGCCAAAGAGGAAGGGTGTATGTGACCTTGGCAATAAAGAGGTGGTCCAGTGGCTGCACTGAGCCTTTGCCACATTCCTGATCCTGGCCCTAGAGGAGCTACCCTCAAGAAGCATTGACCCTGTCCATTTGTCCACTGCCCCCCAGACACTTAAGTGGTTCTTGACACAAAGCCTAGGCAGGCTCCTGTGCCGCTCTAGTCATGGGCTCAGAGAGTGCCTTCTCTTCTAGAATCAAACTTAACCACTTCCTGGAGCTTCAGTCGCACCCTAACCCATTGGGGCAGGGAAGCTTTGGAATGTTCTGATATCTCTCTCTTGCCTTATGGCAAAGGAAAGTTTCTGGTGACCAAGGCAGCAGAGTAGTTCAGTCCTTGCCTTTTCCTTACCCCATCTGGTTGATTACCCTGGGGATCCTGTGACTTGTGATATTGGCCCAGCTGTCAGGTCACCACCAAACTTTCCTGCTGTTTTTAATTTGTGGTCTTCTCAGTGTCCTCACTGTTTGTCCACTTTCCACCTCTAGCCTTCAGGCTCTGTGTGTATCTAGCCCCTGTTGAACCTGTCCTAGCAGGGCTGTGGGAGACAGCTAGCAAGAGAAATGAAAGCCCACCCAGGTCCTCCTGAGCTACCCAGGCTCTCTCTGCTGTCTGTTCTCACCCACATACTGGGATCCTGGGTCCCCATTAGGAAGATGCAGAATGTCACAGAGCATCCTTTTTTGCACCTGAATTTACCTGACTCTGAACCTCCATCTCATCTGTGTGGAGATCCACATCCCACCCTGCACCTGCATGATGTAGGGTTGCAGCAGGTCTCCCCGGCTGCACCACTGGAGTGAAGCAGCGCCCACCTCTGCCCCCCTGCAGGACTCTAAGGATATTTGAGGTGCCCTGAGAGAGTGGGCTGGCAGCCTGGAGCTGGGCATTCGTGGGAGCAGCTCTTCCCTAGGGAGTCTGGGTGGTGACCGGCCACTCTGGAAATGGATCCTCTTCCCCTGCCCAGATGTCCACCCCAACCCAGTCTACAGGTCAGCCCTGAGTCTGGAATTGTGAAGACTGTGACCAGCTTCCTCTCCTTGTGCCTTCTGGACTGCTCATTTCCATTTAATCTGTTAATTTCTGTTCTTATTTCACTTTGCAGACTACTTACCAATTTCACAAGACATAATTTTTATCAACTAGCTCTTAAGAGAGGCATAACAAATTGGAGTTTTGCTACCATTTCTAGAGAGGACACAGTCCTGCTTGGGCTATCCCAGCTGCTGTCAGGGTTTGCCAAAACTCTGTCCTAGCTGCCTGTTTGAATGAATTTTTTTTTTCTCATTTTTAATTCCCAGAAAATACCTCATTGCTACACACTGGAATTATTTAAAAAAAAACCAAAACTTTATGTTCCTATGTTGCCTCCTGTATGCATTGTGACTGACCCTACCTCCCCAAGCCCCCAGAATGTAATGGGGCCTGGGGGACTTTCCACAAACTTTGTAGAGACTACTCAGGGATCCAGGAAGAAGGTATTACACTTTTAGAATAATGATCAATCGGCCTTGGTGGGCCTTTCTTGGGGTAAGCTTTGAAGTGCTGGTGTCCTAGAGGGGTTGCAGCTGTGTGACTTGGATCATCTATGTGCTATGGTAGACAGTAGCACAAGTGAACACACACAGACCCTTCTATAAAAATGTGGAAGACGGAATCTGGAAGAGCAGCTGCACAAATATTACCTGATTGTCTTTGTCCTTTGGGACCAGTCTCTCTGTAGCTGTGGCCATAATAAGCATGTCTGTCTTTAAGAAAGGACAGCGGAGTCACTCTAGCATTACCACATGTTGGGTACATAGACATGAATTCATTCTGGGCTCATCCCTCCCCAGATTTGCCCAACCTCTCCCTCCCTGCCCATGCTGGCCTGGCCTTCCCTGCTGGTACCACTGGCATAGGAAGGAATGAGGCACTGAGAGCCATCCCAGGACTGGCACCCTTATGGTCACTCCCAGAAGGACTTTGTCCCATGACCCTGACCTCTTCCATTTCCCTCTTTGAAGTACCCCCACTCTCTCAGGTTAATGGCTTACTGCTCAGTTGCACTAAAAGAGTCACCCCTTTGTGCTCAGAATTTGTGACAAGTGACCATGTGCTTTCATTGATACATCCAATGTGAGCAGATCCACGCATTTGAATGTCAGTGTCCTTGACAGTGTGTGCTGTTTGAGTCATCACATTAAAGTTGCTTGATGAAATGATTGGTTAGTTTCCTTTTATTTTCCCACAGGCTTTTTCATAAGGTTTTAAAATTTCGTATGTTTTTTTTCCACCTCATTTTAATCTACTCTGATGACTTTGCTTCAGTGAGTTAGTGGGTTTGCCTCACAGGCGTTTGAGCTATTGTGAATTTTCTGCATCACTGTCAATGGTGCATCTGTGCTGCTCCCTGATGACGTTTTGTTTTT